CCGGCGCGCGCCGAGCCGCGCCCTTCGCCCTCTCTGCAGCCCGGGCGGGCTGCTCCGGGCGGCCTGCGGGGCAGCGCCTTCTGCGGCCTCCCCGGCGGAGGGGATGTGAGGGGCGGCCCGCGGCCATGGAGACGGGCCCGGCGCCCCTGGTGGCCCCGCCGCGCCGTCACGGCGCCCCCGCGGCCCCCTCGCCTCCGCCCCGGGGTTCCCGGGCCGGGCCGGTCGTAGTGGTGGCCCCCGGACCGCCGGTGACTACGGCCACTTCGGCCCCCGTCGACCTGGTGGCCCCCGGGGAGGCTCGGCCCGCCTGGGTCCCAGCATCGCCGCAGACGCCAGCCACGGCGGCCCCGGGCAGCACGGTGGTGGTGCTGACCCTGGAGGCCTCGCCCGAAGCCGCCAAGACGCAGGAGCCCCCCGCACCGGCGGCGGCAGAGGCAGGAGTCGAGACGTCGGTGGCCTCGGTTTCGGGGACGGACTCTCCGAAGGCGGAAGAGGTTCGCGCCTCGCCTGTCCCAGGACCGGGGACCCCCACTCGGACCCCTTCCAGAACGGCACCTGGAGCCCTGACTGCCAAACCCCCGCTTGCCCCCAAGCCGGGAACCACAGTGGCTTCAGGAGTGACTGCACGGGGTGGAGCAGAAGAGGTGACAGGTGGACATGGAGCTGCTACATCAGCCTCAGCAGGGCCTGTCGCGGCCCCTCCCGGGACGTGTGAGGCTCCGGTGGCTGTGGTGACGGTGACCCCAGCCCCGGAGCCTGTTGAAAACTTTCAAGACCTGGGCTCCACGTCCAGCCTAGGACCTGGCATCTCTGGGCCTCGAGGGCAGGCCCCGGACACCCTGAGCTACTTGGATTCCGTGAGCCTCATGTCCGGGACCCTGGAGTCCTTGCCGGATGATGTGAGCTCTTTGGGTTCAGACTCGGAGATAAACGGGCTGGCCCTGCGCAAGACGGACAAGTATGGTTTCCTTGGGGGCAGTCAGTACTCGGGCAGCCTGTGAGTACACAGTGGGCACCCGTGGGGCTGCCTGTGGAAGCGGAGGTGGGGGAAGGGAAAATGATGCACCTGGCCAGTTCTGACCCAGGGAGTCATTAGCAGGAGCTGCAGGGCCCAGAGCATCCTGAGGTTTCTGTGGCTTCAGAGTTGGAGATCAGGGATGCAGGCAGTCATCTAGGCTTAAGCCTAGACCTTGCGTAGGCCTGTGTCCTTGAGCTAGTGGTGTCCCCGTTGCTGTGCCTCAGTTTCCGCTGTGAAGTGAAGGGTTGAGTGAGATACCTTCTAAGCAGCTAAGGTACCAGCTGCTTCGTTTGAAACTCTTAACTAAAGGCCAGATATTCTGGAAGGTTGGCTGGGCCCGGGTTCTGGCCCCTGAGGGCAGGAGGGATGCAGGCACCTTCAGAATGGCAGCAGGGCAGAATGGTGGGGTGAGGAAGACCGGTTGGAGGGGAGACCCTCCAGGCAGGGCTCCTGTGAGAGGGCAGTCTTGTATTTTCACTGAAGGAAAGGGATGGGGGTGGCCTCTTCCCCATTTCCTCATCTCCCCTGCCCTGGTTGAGCTTTCCTAGTTCCTTCCAGGGAGGGGCCTGAGTCACTCCTAAGGTGGGGGTGTGATTGCCCTGACTTCTTCCTTCCCCCTCTCTGGATCCTAACCAATGTTCCTGTGCTCCCTTAACCTGCTTGCTAGTCAGTAACCTGGTTAGTTCGTTCAGCCTAGGGCGCTGCCTGAGGACACTGCAGCCAGGCTCTGAACTGAGCACTGACTGAAGTAGACTTTCAAAGCGCACCTCTGGAGGGAATGCCTAAACAGTTGGTTTCAATATAGTTGTTGGGTTTAGCCTAGAGATCAGAGGGTTCTGTGAGCACCTGGATGTGAGATTCTGCTCGAGAGGATCTGAATCAGGAAGGTGGGGGTTGGAAGAGTAATAGAGTGAGGGCTTGTGAGCTAACAAACTTCAAAACTTGATTGGACACCAATGTTCAGACTGAACTCTAACTGAAGGTTGACCCTGGACCTTTCTCCTGCACTTTCTTCCAGCCCGTAAGAAACAAAAGTATGTTTGCCAACCTCAAATCACACAGATCTGTGTGACTAGTGGACAGTCCTCCGTACTAGCCTGTCCAGAGGAACTTGGTTCAGATTTGGTTTTAGAATATTGCTCCTGTGTCAGGCACTGTGCTGGGTCTATTTCTCAGCTTTGTGACTTTGTCACTTGAGAATCTGCCTTCCATGTCAGAGGAATTACCTCTAAGGCAAGATTGGTTGTGACAATTTAGCATGAACACTTTTTTTCTCCTACAGGGTAAAGTCCAAGCTCTTTAGGCTGCACACTGGCTCAGTACTGCCCAGCCACGCTAGCCTCTTTGGTGTCAGCACCCGTCTGTCAGGCTCCGTATTAAATTAGTAGTGAATTGCTATTAAGGCTTGTCCACCTGTCCGGAATGTTCTTCCCCTACTCTGGTACATTTCTGATGTCCTTTCCTCCAAGAAGCCTCCCCTGATACCTACTGTCCTTGTAATAATTAATAACTCTTGTGTGGCTCTTTGTCCTTGCATCTCTTAGGTCATAGTGGATCCCCCCTTTTAAGATTTAGCGAAGTACGTATATGGGTGTTTTGCCTGCATTCAGGTCTGTGCACCATGTGCATGCAGGGCCCAGCGAGGCCGGAAGACAGCTTCAGATCCTCTGGAACTGGAATTACATACTGTTGCTTGCTGCCACGTGGATGCTGGGAACTGAGCCCTGGTTCTCTACAAGAGCATCAGTGCTCTTAGAGCTGAGCCATCGCTCCCGTCCTTCCCTCCCTTTGTACACTAATGTTCCTGGGGATGGAAAAGGCCCAGAGAGTGTGGAACTGATTTATGACAGACATGAAATGAGGGATGATATCTCTGTTTAAGGACTTTCCAGCACAAAATAAATTAACATCTTTTAGCTCCTATTTAACCAGTCCTTATAACTATAGGTAGTGGCATCCCAATTATAGCTGAGGAAGAGACTCAGGTTACTCACATGTCAAGACTTATATCCACTAAGGGAAAGGACTGGGTTTTGAGCTTAGTCTGGAATTTCTAAAACCCATGTTCTTTCTTCCATTTTGTTCCGCTGGAACTGGTTCCTGTAGGTCACCAACCATTTCCAGACAGATGGAGCACCTTGAACATTGAGCTGACAGAACAGCATCAGGGCAGGAGAATTCATTTACTTGGGAATCTGGGGAGGTTGCAGAGAGGAAGTCACAGATGGTCCAGAAAATCTTGAGTCTCGCAGGCTAAAATGAGACATCCAAGGCCATTTTCCCTGAGCCCCTGCTACAGGCTATTTACAGATCCTTTCAGTTAGACGTTGTCGTTCTCCTACCGAACAAATGAGGAAATTGAGGCTTAGAAAAGTCAAGTGACTCGTTCAAGGTCACACAATGAATAGATGGTAAAACTAGGACTTAGATCCAGATTTAATACAAAATGTGGTTTATACTTTATTAGTTTTGTCAGTGCTGGGACTGAGTTCAGGGCCCTTCACATGCAAGACAGGCACAGTACCACTGATCTACATTCTCAACCAGAATGTATCTTTTCAATAATACCAAGATTGGATGTGTCAGAAGTGGGATTTAAACTCTCCATGTAGAGATCAGGTAGGGAAGGAAGCCTTTTAAAGTGTGGTGGACAAGGCTTTAGATCGCTGTAATGAGACATTTTGATCTCATACAATTTCCAGTTTTTTGAGTTGAGCCTGAGGGAACTGGCAGCCTCAGTTTCTCCAGCAGCCTGGCTCTGTACTACTGCCACTGACCTCTTCCGTACTTACTCCAATTCTACAGAGAGAGCTCAATTCCTGTGGATGTGGCTCGGCAGCGGGAGCTCAAATGGCTGGAGATGTTCAGTAACTGGGATAAGTGGCTGTCACGGCGTTTCGAGAAGGTCTGAGGGCTGTATGGTGGGCTGGGCAATGTGCAAGGGCAGGTGGGGGTAGTGGGGATGTACAGAAAAGCCCAGGAAACTAATAATATCTGCCCTGCTAACACACTGAGGATCAGTGGTATTTGGGCCTAAGGAGGAGGAGCTTTAAACTGTAGCCAGACCATGTCCAATGTCGCCGTCACATCTGGCATGTGGGAGGAATGTCTCTGCGAGCCTGATGGCTGCTGGGGAAAGCTGGGAGAATGTTCCAGCTTAGAAGCTGTCACCCTAGATGCTACTCTGCCTTAGGTAAAGCTGCGCTGCCGGAAAGGGATCCCTTCCTCTCTCAGAGCCAAGGCCTGGCAGTACCTGTCTAATAGCAAGGAACTCCTGGAGCAGAACCCGGGCAAGTTTGAGGTTTGTGCAACTCTGGGGTGTGGGGATAAGTGGCAGGAGAAATCAACTCTCCCAGACTCTGAGGTAATCCCTGCTGTCCCGCTGCAGGAGCTGGAACGGGCTTCTGGGGACCCCAAGTGGCTGGATGTGATTGAGAAGGACCTGCATCGTCAGTTCCCTTTCCATGAGATGTTTGCTGCTCGAGGAGGGCATGGGTAAGAGCCTGACTGAGTGGGACAGTGGCAAACATCTTTTGAAGGTTCTGGGTACATAATGAGGCTTAGTCCAAGCAATTCCTGCTCTGGAGGGCTCTTAGGAGGGTGATTGTTAAAATGGTTGATGTCAAGCAGTGTTAAAAGAAGTGTCCATTCAGTATCGGCTATTACAATGATGGGAGTTTGATAGTCTCAAAAAAATACGGCATGTTAAAACCTGAAGTAGTAAAGCTGTACTGTATCTCTCTTACTAACATTGCAGTCTAAATACTCCTGTGGCTACTACTTAAAGTTTTAAAATGCTTTGAAAATTTAGCATTATATGTTTTAGCTCTTAACATTTGGAAGTCATTAACTTGGTATTATATATCTATAGAAGTTTTGAGGTTTTGAGGTTAATTTCCCTTCTGTACCTATCTCCTGTCAAATTTGGTTCAACATTTTATATATTGAGAGACTGACTATTTCAAATGTCTAATGTTTGCACACTAATTAAATTTTTATTACTTAAAAAAAAAAACAAAACAAAACAAGAAGAGGTGTCCTGTGAGAGAGATTCTAATTTGGGCCTTTGTGTAGGTCCATGGAGGACTAATTGAGGATTTGTGGATAGGGGTTTTCCTTCCTGGGAGGATGTATAAGCAGTGTCTGGACAGTGGGTTTTTGTAGAGCTGAATCTGGAAAAGAAGTTTGGGCCAGATCACCAAGAGCCACGGCACTTGGATTTTTATTCTGTAGGTTAAGCTTCTTCAAGATGAAATATACATACCTTAATAGTCTGCAAGGTGATCTTAGGTGCTTCTATGGCCTTTCTGTTGCTGTTGTGTTGGAGTTGATAGCATGCCTCTCACATGCTAGGCAAGTATTCTACCACTCAGCTAAGTTCTCAGCCCTACATGCACTTCATGAAGTATATATATTTTCTTCTTTCTGTATATACTATTTATTTTTTTCCTTGAGCTAGGGTCGGACTATGTAGGCCAGACTGGTTTCTAATTCAGATCTATCTCTGTCTCCCAAGTACTAGGATTAAAGGCTATGCAGCTACAACCAGCTTTTGTTTGTTTGTTGAAAGTGACCTTGAACTTGCTGGGTATTGACTGCCCTGGAGCTCAGTCCTCTGCTGCAGCCTCTCAAGTGCTAGGACTATAGCTATGTGCTACCATGCCTAGTTCGAATAACATTTTTACAAATATGTTCATCTTTCAGCACATGGTTATTGAGTACCTGCTTCTGTCACACACGACAGCCATGAACTAAAACTGAAAAGCTTGTCTTCCTGTGGGAGCAGACAGTCCTAGAGGAAGGAGAGTGTGGAAAGCAGTGATAAGCACTGGAGAGGAGTTTAAAGCAATAAAGGAAAATGGAGAGCATGTGGGGACAGGGTTCAGGAGCAGAAAGTATGAGAGACTTGGTACTTATGAGTACAGATCAGAATTAGAGAAAAGGTAGGTTTGGGTTATGCCAGAAGTTTTTAAAGAGTCAGACTTGGTAGCTCATGCCTATAGTCTCAGGTACTTGGGTAGACTTTGGGGGGAGGGCTCACACCAGCACTTAGGAAGCTGAGGCAGGAGGGTTGTCATGAATTTAAGGCCAGCCTGACATACATCTTGAGTTCCAGGACAAGTTTATTAGAGTAAGGCTCTGCCTCAAACTAGGAAGGTGTTGCCTATTGGATATCCAGGGGATGTTGGCAGATTGGGTACCCAATATATTATAAATTTGGATTTCAGGAAAGAAGGGGTTTTTGTTTGTTTGTTTGTTTGTTTGTTTTTGTTGTTGTTTGCTTTGAGACAGGGTTTTGCTATGTAGCCTTGGCTTTCCTGGAACTTATTCTGTAGACCAGGCTGGCCTCAAACTCAGAGATCGACCTGCCTTTGCAGAATTAAAGGTGTGTGCCACCACTGCCTGGCTCAGGAAGGAAGTTTAAATTAGTGATAAATTGGAAATTGAAAATGTATTTTATGGAAGGATTAGGCTCACCATGGGACTCTATGAGGTTGCCAGGCAGCAAGTGTAGGTACAAAAGGAAGACGGGACCTGGTGTGGTAGCACTCATCTTTGAATCTCAGCCTGGGGAGACAGGCTGGTCCTTGGGAGTCTCAGGTCAGTCTGGTCTATAACAAAGTAGTCTTGGGCCAGTCAGACATGCATAGTGAGACCTGTCTCCAAAAAAAAAAAAAAAAAAAAAAAGGCAATCAAGGCTTGAGCCCTGAAGTACCAATGTTTTGAGAATGAGAGGGTGAAATATATATATAGAAAGAACACTAGAAGCCATAGCAGAAGGGGCTTCTGACTTTGGGAAGCAAAGTGAAGAAATGCTTTGAGGACCAGCTTCAAGAAATGGTGCTGAGGGATGAGTTCATAAAGTCTGAGAATTAGCTTGGTCATAATACTGTATAAGTTAGTAGTGACTTTTTGTTTTGTTTTGAGACAAAGTATAGCTTAGCTGGCCTCAGAGTTCTGGAAATCTTCCTGCCTCGGCCTCGAGTCCTGGGGTTAAAGGTGTGAGCCACTACATTTGTCTCATTAGTGACTTGATAAAATTAGTTTTGTGGGGAGCATAGGGAAATGCCTGCCAAGAGTGTAGGAAGGAGGACATGGAAGACAATGTGTTTTTTCGAGCAACTTGGCTGACTAGGTAAGGAAAGAAACTATTCTTTGGAGGGGAGAGTGGGATTAAGGGATGCTGTTTTAAACAACAGTGAGGACTAGTGAGGTGGCTCAGTGGGTAAAGGTACTTGATTGACAAGCCTGACAACCTCAGTAAGGAAAAAAAAAAAGCAACAGCAAGTCTGGAAACTTAGCTCAGTGGTGGAGCACTTGCCTAGCATGCATAAGGCCCTGGGATCAATCCTAGTACTATAAAATAAATCATTTAAAAAGCAGATTATTAGTATACTAATGGGAATTTGAAGAGAAAAATTGATGAAGCAGAAAAGGCGGCACACTCATAGCAGAAAGGAAGTCTGGGATCCAGTCATAAGCAGAAGGGTGGATATGATGGAAGCTATATTATTGCATGCCTGGTGCCCAACGATGTCAGAAGAGGTGTGGGATCCTCTGGAACGGAAGTTACAGGTGGTTGTGAGCCACCGTGTCTGTGAGTGCTGGGAGCTAAGCCTGGTCCTCTGCAAGAGCAATACAAGTGCTCTTAACTGCTGAGCCGTCTCTCCGGCCCCAGGGTCTTGTTAGTGTAGTTTGGTGGTTGTGATGTATTAGGGAGAATAATCGGCATCATAAGGTCTGTCACTACATTAGTAAACAGGCGTGGGATGTAGCTCATTCAGCAGAGTGCTTGTTGAGCGTGCCTGAAGCCCTGAGTCTGCTTTCCACAGAAAACCAAGTGTGATGGTACATGCCAGTAATCCTGGTGCTGGAGAGATGGAGGCAGGAGGATCAGAAATCAAGGGTCATTTTTGGACACAGAGGGTTGGAACCCAGCAAGGGCTACATGAAACACTGTCTCAAAATGTTTTAAAAGTAATAGTGATAAGGTATAAGGGATCACATCTGAATGACTGGTTTTGGGGTGGTGCTGGCATAAGAAGTATCAGCAGTGACTGCAGGCAGGGAGATCTGGGAGGTCGGTAGGTGTTTTGGGCAGGAGAAGAGGTCAGAGATGGAAGTAGCTGTGGAGGGGAAGAGAGAGCATGTGAATGAAGTTCAGGATGTAGTATGGCTCAGACTTGGGAATGCAGAAAGCTGTTTTTGAGTAGATGGAAATACCAGACTTATGGAACTCGGCAAGAAAAAAGCAGGGCGAGGGCACAGATCTGGTTCCATACAGAGATGAGAGAAAGGTGTGAGGAACAGCTGGCTTCCTGGCCTTTACCAAGAACCAGGACAACTGGACATGTTGGGAGATCTGATGAAGCTCAGTACAGATTGCCTGCCCTGGAGTATAAAAAGCATGTGGTTCCAAAGGAGGGCCGATGTTGTGGCTGTTGATAGGTTCCTCGGGAAATGACCATGATTGCTTTGGGGGTGGTTGCAGGTGAAATAGGGAAATGGGTATGCAGCCAAGGGTGAAAGGCCAGGACCTAGACTGTTTTGATGCTGAACCTTTGGTAGGCAGGGCTGGGCAGGTAGAGGTGGTAAAGCTCTGATTCAAGCTTGGAGCTTGATGTAACAGGGTGCTAGTCCAGGCTAGGGGCAGGTTTGGTGACTGCCATCTTCTGCACTCCCCTTAGGCAACAGGACCTGTACCGAATCCTGAAGGCCTATACCATCTACAGGCCTGACGAGGGCTACTGTCAGGCCCAAGCCCCAGTGGCTGCCGTGCTGCTCATGCACATGCCTGCTGAGGTCAGCATAAGTGGACCTGTTTGGGGTGGGGGTGAGAAGATCTTGGCATACCGTGGTGACGGGAGAGCTGCCTACTCCCTGCTTCTCAGGCCCCATCCCTGCCTCTTGTTCTTGCCCTTCTTAGCAAGCCTTTTGGTGCCTGGTACAGATCTGCGACAAGTACCTCCCAGGTTACTACAGTGCAGGGCTGGTGAGTGTCTGGAAGCTGGGTACACTGGGGCTGTGACTTTCCCCAAGGCTGCCATAGGTCCTTGCCTTGCCTCACTTGTCCTGTCCCTCTAGCACTGAGGTTAAGACACCCTCTCAGCTTTGATTGTACCCTGAGGGGGCCATAGTAAGCCAGACCCACTTCTCATGGCTCTTCCCATCATCTCTAGGAGGCCATTCAGTTGGATGGAGAAATTTTTTTTGCAATCCTGCGCAAAACTGCTCCGCTGGCACATCGGCACCTTCGGCGGCACCGAATTGACCCCGTGCTCTACATGACAGAATGGTTCATGTGCATCTTTGCCCGCACCCTCCCCTGGGCTTCAGTGCTACGTGTCTGGGACATGTTTTTCTGTGAAGGTATTTCAGTGGCCATCTAGGCTGAGGGGGCTAGGATTGGTCACTTTACTGCTGGCCCATGGACAAAAGTATTGTTGGGCCTAGGTTTCACAATAAGCAGTCTGCATGATGGAAAAACAGGACCCATCTTGGTTCAGCCACCAACCTAGAGTCTCTTTGCTCTGCAAGAAATCTGCAACCCATAGCAACCTTCTTCACCTGTAAGGCTGGCAGAAAACAGCAACAGGGGCTGTCTTTCCTCCAAGAGACAGGTTGAGATCCTGGACCTGATCTCTCTTTGCATTCATCTCTGACCCTGTAGGCGTTAAGATCATCTTCCGAGTGGCTCTGGTCTTACTTCGACACGCACTGGGTTCTGTGGAAAAGCTACGCTCCTGTCAAGGCATGTATGAAACCATGGAGCAGCTTCGAAACTTGCCACAGCACTGTATGCAGGAGGACTTCCTGGTGCATGAGGTAGGCCATGAACCTCAGCATACCTTGACCCACTTCAACCCATCCCCACACCTGTCTATACTCTGCCTCCCATGTCCTCTTGTCTAGGTAACCAGCCTGCCAGTGACAGAAGCATGGATTGAGCGGGAGAATGCAACCCAGCTGAGGAAGTGGCGGGAAACTAGGGGAGAGCTGCAGTATCGGCCCTCACGGCGACTGCATGGCTCCCGAGCAATCCATGAGGAACGCAGACGGCAGCAGCCACCCCTGGGTCCTTCCTCCAGCCTCCTCAGCCTCCCTAGTCTCAAGAGCAGAGGCTCCCGGGTAGCTGGAGGGGCTCCTTCCCCACCACCACCTGTCAGAAGGGCTAGTGCTGGCCCTGTCCCTGGGGCCGTTGTCACTGCTGAGGGACTGCATCCATCCCTTCCTTCACCTACTGGCAACAGCACCCCACTAGGCACTAGCAAGGAGACCAGGCGTCAGGAGAAAGAGCGGCAGAGACAGGAGAAGGAGCGGCAGAGACAGGAGAAGGAGCGGGAGAAGAAGGAGAAGGAGCGGCAAAAGTGGGAAAAGGAGCAAGAGAAGAAGCAGGAGAAGGAGCGGCAGAAGCAGGAGAAGAAGGGCCAAAGCCGGAAACTTTCCTTGCGTCGAAAGGCAGATGGGCCCCCAGCACCCCACGATGATGGGGACAAGTCAGCAGCTGAGGCCCGGCAGGATGCTTACTTCTGACCTCTTGCTGGGTCTGGATGGCACGGCCCTCCTTTTCCTCAGCCAAGAACAGGCCGGACAGGGGTGTTCTCCCAGCTCCCTTGGCAGGCTCTTCCTTTTTCTGAGGAAAGTGGCTTGATTTCCCTGAGTCCTTGCCAGCTGCTGATCCCTACATGGCCAGGGCAGCCACAGTGCATGGGACAGCTACGTTTCTTAGGGTAACAGTGACCAAGTCTGGAGACTCTTTTGTCCAATTAGGCCCAGCTTGGGTCTCTGTCACTCCTATGAATTCCTTCTGGGGTGCTGTCTTAATTCGACAGGAGTCACCAGATGGGTGACTCTTGGAAATGGCAGTTAGCAGTTGCAGATTCTTACTCTCCAGTGGCTTCCCTTAGATGGTGGAGCTAGGTTCCTTTTCCTGTCTTGGGGCCCTGCCTGTCACCCCAGTCTTTCTGGGGCCAAGGCTGTGTTTTCTCTCCTGGATATCCTTATGTTGTAATTATGTACAGAAGGTCAGGTTGGCCTGGGGGGGGGGGGTGCTGTCCTTTCCCCTTTCCACAGTGCTTCACTCCAGTTTATTTAAGGGGATGTGCAAAGAAATGTCCTCCATTTCCTTCCCACCCATGTCCTGCTCTGTCCTAACCCACTTGCTTTGTATGCTCAGGCCTCTCTGCTGTCTCATCAGGAAACCTAGCTCTCATTTTGTTCCTTTCCAGCCATCAAGCCCCTTTCTGAGTAAGGGTCTTCCCTTGAGTCCAGGGGGCGGAACCCAGTGTTTACATTCTCTTCTGTCTTGGTCCCACCCCAGTGGCGCTTTTGTGGCGCTTTGAGGAACCGGAAAAAGAACCTGCTGTCATACCTGGAGCTGTCTCCTGCCTTCTTATTTGAAGAGGGTTGTAGAGTAAGGGGAGGGAGCCAGAGAGAAAGCCCAAGGCCCCCTTGGGTGCAGGCTGCTGATCTTGGCAGGAACATCTAGACCAGCAGTTCTCCACCTTCCCAATGCTGCAGTCCTTTGACACAGTTCCTTGTGCTGTGACCCCCGCCCCCAGACATAAAATTTTCAGTGCTACTTCATAACTTACTACAGCCATGACTCATAATGCAGATATCTGCCTTTTCTGATAATCTCAGGCAACCCTTACGAAAGGGTCATCTGACCCCAAGGGGGTCATAGTGAAGCCTTGCTCCCTATCTTATCAATAGACAGTTGTCCAGCTCCTGCCTCAGCTTTGCCTGGGATCTGCTCCTCCACTGTCACGGGCCTCCTGGGACTCTGCACAGCCTGCAGGCCTGGGATAGTTCCCACATGCTTGTGCAGCTCCTGGAAGTTGAAGGGGTCCTGCGAGTGGCTGCAGAGCCACCTGTTTTAGGATCGCGCTAGGTTCTTAGAGGCTTGGCAGTTCCTGGTACTGGGCTTCCGGGTGGACTAGCTGCCTTCAGTTGATCGCATCGGGTGCACACAACCGACCGGCCAGCTCTTGTTTTCTGTGGCTGCATTGTAGCCCACCCCCTCTGCCCAGGAGTCAGGATGGTGGAGGCATGGACTTATGTGGCTGTGAGGCAGAGCTCCACTTGGCAGTGGATCAGCTCCACTAGGTGGGTGAGGATCAGGGATGTGTGGTCTCGAGATAAAAAGTTCCCCTCAGGATGAGCTAGCTGGGCTGAGAACTGGTGTTTCAGGCTCCTTTCCTGTAGCAAGAGGCCCTCCTGGCCCAAGACCTGTGTTCTGTTCCCACGGGAGACACTGATGTCACACTTTCAGTGAAGATGCGTGGTGATTCAGAATGGTATAAAATACTAGAGCAAGGTGTGGTCTACCTAGCCGCCCTCTTCCAGCTCCGGCAGGATCACCTGGGCTATCTGGCCCAAGGGTGTTCAGGCTTTGAGATGGAGACCTCACTGTACCGAAAGGTCTCACCTGGCCCCACCTCTGCAGGCGCTGGATTGCATCTCGGCAGTTTGCTAAGGCGTTGGGTAGGCTGGCAACTGGCTCAAGAACTTCTGGGGGCAGGGCACTATGGACTTTGACTGGGTTCTGGGCAGCGATGCCATTGCACCTGTGATGGCTGTTCCACTACAGAAACTAGGCATCGAGTGGTTAACGGTCAAATGACTTCCTGGGTCCTAAAAGAAGCTGGGTTTGGAAAATGCTTGAGCGCTTACAGTCAGAAGCAGGACTCTGGGGAAGCAAGGCTTTTTTAAAAGACCGAGCGGCTGTATTCCAGACTGCCCACAACCAATCCTGCCTCAGTTTTCCGAGTCCTGGGACTGCGTCAGGCTTGGAAATCAGGGTCTCTCCTGACTGCCGTCAGGTGTGCAGAACCCCATCCACAAAAGCAAACTGAAGCCTGCTCGGCCTGCGCCCCTCCACCAGGCCTCGGAACCCCTGAGCAGACAGAGCGCCACGTCCTCACCAGAGCCTCCACGGCAGAGGAATAATAAACACTTCCCGCCATCCTCAAGCCGGGTGAGGCAGCACGGAGCTCACGCGAGGCTTGGTCGGTCCTACGTCACTTCCTGCGGAGAGGCGGCCTTGACTAAAGGTGTACTTCCGCCCATGCCCGCCGACTTTTGGAGAGGAGTGAAGCTACTTCCGGTCCCTCATGGCGTTTTTCTTTTTTTTTCTCAGTCTTCTTCCGGGTGAGAGAGGCGGGTGCCTCGGATGTAATAGCAGCGAAAGCATCTTTCCTTTTCTTCCCCGCCTGACCGAGGGTTCCTAGGGGAGCGCCAGCGGGTAAGCCTGTTCGAGGGCCTGCGGGTTCGCTTCGGCTCCGGTCCGTAGGCCGAGCCGGACGTGGTCGAGCGGGTCGCTGCGTGGAATTGGGGGTTCGAGGCTACTAGGGCGCCGGCTCTTGGATTCGACCGGCCTCTGAGTGCACTCGGGTGGGAGAGGTGTTTGAGCTCTGTAGCTCCGGGCTGGTAGGATGAGTGATGACGTAGGGGAGCCCAGCTTTTTTTTCCCGGGCAGGAGTCCCCGCGGGGTCCACGCGGGGGCGGAGATCCTTCACGCAGTCCTCTGAAGGGCCAAGCCAGTTCCGGACGTCCTGCCTACTAGTTCTTTCAGATAGTTTAGTGATCCTTTCTCTCTCAGACGGGACCTGGCATTTAGCAAGAAGAAAATGTCTGTGGAGCCTGGGCGCGCTCTCGGTCCTTTTTCCTTTATCTGATTTCTTTACTCCGTGTCTTTCCCCGCGGTCCAGCTGGAGGAAGTCTACTGCCAATCATGCCAAAGAGGAAAGTGACTTTTCAAGGTGTGGGAGATGAGGATGATGATGATGAAATCAGTGTTCCCAAAAAGAAGGTGAGATGCCCAGATTCCTACGCTCTGTGGAGAACTGAGGGGAAAGAAGCTAGAGAAATCTGATAGGAAGAAAGCTGGGAAGCCAAAGAAAGGGTTAGTTTTTCCCGGTGCACCGGGGTTGGAGGGATTCCAGTTTGGATAAAGGTCCCGAAATATTTGGGGAACTAGCCAGTAATCTGCATTTCTCATTTGCTGCTTTCTGCTCACAGCTGGTGGACCCTGTGGCCGGAGCAGGGGGCCCTGGCAGCCGCTTCAAAGGCAAACACTCTTTAGACAGTGATGAGGAGGATGATGATGAGGAGGGGTCCAGGAAATACGATATCTTGGCCTCAGAGGATGTAGAAGGTGAGCTACTCACAAGGCGTGAACTATGTTGGAGGGACAAGTCTGGATATGGAGGAGGGAGGGGTGCCCGTTTTTTTTCTTTTGCATGCCTAGCATGGGGCCCCCATGTTTTTGGTACAGGTCAGGAAGCAGCTACGCTCCCTAGTGAGGGGGGTGTGAGGATCACACCTTTCAACCTGCAGGAAGAGATGGAGGAAGGCCACTTCGATGCTGACGGCAACTACTTCCTGAACCAGGATGCACAGATCCGAGACAGCTGGCTGGACAACATTGACTGGGTGTGACCCGGGAACTGCCCTGGCTTAGGCTTGGGAGTGAGGGTGCTGGCCTGGGCCCACGGGGGAAGTTCTGTAGGAAGTGATAGTTCTCTCTTCCTTACAGGTGAAGATCAAGGAACGGCCCCCTGATAAGCACCAGGTTTCAGACTCAGAGGACGAAGACAGCCTGGGTCAGACTCCGATGAGTGCCCAAGCCCTCCTGGAGGGACTTTTGGAGCTGATGTTGCCAAGAGAGACAGTGGCTGGGGCACTTAGGCGGCTGGGGGCCCGAGGAGGAGGCAAAGGGGACAGCAGGGGGACCGGGAGGCCCAGTTCCCCCCAGCGCCTAGACCGGCTTTCCGGATTGGCTGATCAGATGGTGGCTCGGGGCAACCTTGGTGTATACCAGGAGACAAGGGAACGGTTGGCTATGCGACTGAAGGGTTTGGGATGTCGAGCCCAGGGACCCCAAGACCCCACACCTCCACCCTCCCTGGACATGTTTGCTGAGGAAGTAACAGAGGGGGAGCTGGAAACCCCCACCCCTACCCCTGCCCATCGAGAAGGTAAGTGCGGAGGGCACGGGAGGGACAGTGTGGGCAGGAGACTGGGCACCTGAGGCCCAAATGCCGTCATTGTTTTAGAAGCAGAGTCAGCAGGGGATGGGCTGATGGACGTGATGTGGGAGTATAAGTGGGAGAACACGGGCGATGCCGAGCTGTATGGACCCTTTACCAGTGCCCAGATGCAGGTAAGCCCCTCCCCATCTTGTCCGTCCATCCCAGCCTCTGTCCTCTTTTCTCAGTTTTGTCCTCTTTCCTTACAGACCTGGGTGAGCGAAGGCTACTTCCCAGATGGAGTTTATTGCCGGAAGCTGGACCCTCCAGGCGGCCAGTTCTACAATTCCAAACGCATTGATTTTGACCTCTACACGTGAGCCTGCCGAGGGCCCAGTGTGGCAGCCCCTTCTTTCTTGGACTTGGCAGAGGAGGCCCCAGCTGCCCTGGGCAGTGAGGCTATGGGGGGGCCACTTTTCAGCCAGTTTCTCTTACCCAATAAAAGCCTTGAGTGTGTATCAGGGCCTTGACTGTGCTGATGGCCAGAAACCAGGGCTTCTCTGAGCTCTTGTCAGCATCACCTGGGCCCTGGAGTGTTTCCTCCGGAGAGATTTTTCCCCAGAGGCTTTTCTCTGGTGTCGTGAACCACCTCACTTCTGTTCCTCCCCCCTTGCTGGCAGAGGTAGGGCCCATCAGGTGTCCTGTGACTTTCTTACCTAGACTTCTGCTTGCCGTGTAAAATTCCCTTCAGTCACCCCATCCTCCAGGCTCCCCTGCAAGTCCTCATTCTGCTGACCTTTGGCTTTTAGGAGCTCAGCTTCTCTGTCCTGGCAGCCTCTTGCAGCTGGGACTTTTGGAAGACTTCGAGAGCCTGTTGAGAACGCACAGGGAGCCTCTGAAACATGGGTTCTCTTCTCCCTAGTCTGTTTTTTTCTGTCCCTCTCTGTAGCTCTCGTAGCTCTGAGTGAAGTGTAAACTGAGTAGTGCCTCAGGACCACCATGCATTCTGCAGGCTCAGAGAGGGACAGGGCCTTCCTGGAGAGCTCATTAATTCCCCTGACCTTTCTTGGCATAAAGCTTTTTCTTGCTTGGTTCTGTCGAGCCCTGCAGCATAAAATTCCTGGGCTCCAGCATCTCCGGCAGAGGGTTAGTGCCTTGAGAAACAGCACTGGACTGGCCCCTTCCAGGAATCCTGAGTGCAGTGGGGGCCTGTGGGAGGCAGGCAGGGACCTAACAGTCCTCACCCGCCAGTGCTGCTGTGTGCCCACCTCACCTGTCCACGAGGGGCACCCTGAGAGTTACAGGGTAGTAGGATCCAGGCTCTGGCCTGGTTGGGGGGCTTGAGGCAGAGACCCCCAACTACTCCGGCAAACCCTGTTTGCTGCCAGCCTGGACCACAGTTTC